TATTTTATTATTCTATTTTATTTCTGAATGCAGTTCACCTCAAATGATTCCCTAGCCTTGTAGAAAATAGTAATACAGGTGACTTACAGTGAGTCTTGGTTGGATAGCTCTGAATTTTCTCTGCACCCTAGCAGCAGCAGCATTCCAAGCAAGTGCAGCCAACTTTCCTGATTCCTTGTATCTGTATCACACTTTTCAAGTGAGTGTGAGACTCAAGGAGCCGAGGAGAGAGGATTCTCTGGCAGGTGGGGTAGCCTTGGCTTGAGCTTGCCAAGGGCTGGGCTGGGCAAGCAGGCGGGCCTTGGATGAGCAAATCCCACTGTCTGGCATCCCATGCCTCCTTCAGTCGGTCACCCCAGAGAGCAGTGGGAGAGATCATTCTTTACTGAGTGCTGTTGCTGTGAAAATGCAAGTGTTGAAACAGACTTTGGTGAGGAATTTACAGCTCCTGCCAGCATGCTGGTTTTTATGTGTTGTGTACAGCCAGGGTCTGCTTTTACATTTCCCTGTGGAGCATCCAGACAGATACATAGGTATCATTTTTCTGCTTAATTGAGGAGATTTTCTGTTGGTTTCCGTTGCCTGTTTTTTACCTTTTTTCTCCAAAAATGTAGCATGCTTGGTTCCCTATATGAAACTCATTTTTCGAGGCAATAATTAGATCTTCAGATTTCAAATATTCGAGCTACTTCTTCTGCAGAGAAAGGAGCAGAATAGAAAGTTTGAAAGTGTGGAGGACATTTCATCCCAGGTTTATGTAGGGATAAATCCTCTCCAGTGCCATGCTTTATGGCATTACCTGCATGGAGAAGCCAGGGCTGCAGGTTTCTGAGCATCCTCCTGAGAGCAAGGCTGCCATTTGTCAGCATTTGCACCAGCACGAGCAGTGAAGGCTTTTACAGCAAAACCGCGCTGATCAACTCTGGTTCTGCTCCTCAGCACCCCTCCCCAGGCTTCCAGGCAGATCTGTCTTTCCTGTCACTCAGGATAACCATTCCCCACCGGCAGCACAGAGATTCTGGATCTGTGCAGAATGCACTGTAATCTCACTGAGAGTTTGACTCCCCAGCTGGGAGTGCTGGGTTTATACAGCCAAACAGTAGATGGTCATTGCACTTAAACTTTTGTGTTGGTGTGCTGAACCTCTAAATGGGCTGAAGGGTCTCTCTTTGTCTGCAAATAACCTTGATCCTTGGAGTGCTGAAATCTATGGATTTCATTGCATATACTGGTTAGGATTTAACTTGATATAGCTGTTCAATTTTAAAGGATTTCTTCTTTTTTGTTTGTGGTTGGTTTTTTTTTTGGTTTGGTTTTTTTTTGGGGGGGGGGGGGTTTCTTTTTTGTTTAAGGGTGGATTAGTAATTCATTCCCAAATTGGTAGTTAGCACAATGGATGTTTAATTGTAAATGTATATCTTTAATTAGAACTTGGTACACAGATGCAAAAATTCCTTATCTTGCAGTTTTTCAAAAGCACACATATTAAACCACAGCCTTGCCCTTCAAAAATACTGTTCTGTGCATTTAAAGGTCTGAATGACCTTTTAATCAGACATTACACCTTTACTTCCAGCTGATATGACAACGTCTGACAGTAACTCAACGTGATGTGGCAAGAAAATAAATAAAAGCCGTCTCAGTCACTATGTCTTTAAATCTCTCTGTCTTGCTGTGGTTTTGTGTTCAGGCAGATGGACCCACAGCAGAATATTACATTTAGTTTTCAAGTGAAGACAATGTATTGAGTTTAATATGTTTGCATGTTTGACTGTTCTTTTGAGGTCAATTTAGTCATACGATTGTTTCCTGCCATTCCGAACTCCAGCCTCTTCTGCAGCCAAGCTCTTTATAAATTATAAATCTGTAAACCTCGCTCTCAGCAGCCATCTTACAGCCCACACAGACTGCTGTGGATGGTCTAGAAATTGCATTAGCTCTCCTCAGCGTGCCTGGGTGCGAGGGCTGCCGTGCTCTGTCGCTACTTGTGCTCATGCTCACCTCACGTAAACGGGCAGAGCAGGGACTGGTAAAGATGGATATGAGCAATTCCTACTTTTGCACCATCAACACAAAGAGAACTCACATTAGTCAAGGTGGTTGTATTTAACACATCAGCTTATTGTCCTTGGAAGTTAATTTTCAGATGATTTATTGAAGTGTAACATTTGTGGAGGGGGAGTGGATATTGAATTGACAACAGGTCAGAGTTCTGATAATACAGCAGAATTATTTTGATCTCTGGTATTTCCAAGTGCTGAAGCAATAAACATAACAATAACAGCTTCCCTTTCATATGGCTTTTACGAAAAGAGAAGCTGTGTACTGTTTGAGCCTGTTTATCTTAAACTTGAATAATTATTCAACAAAAAATACATGCCATACTAATGAGCAGTTCCCTGGAATTCAGAAAGTAATATTGTCACACTAAGTACAATGCACCTGTACACTGCAGGATCCATGGTCTGTTGGATTTTTATGGAAAAACTAGGAAAACATTAAAAAGGTCTTCCCTGAAACAAAAAAAGAACTCTTTCAAAAAGAGACATGTACTTAAATGTGCACCAGCAACATCCATGAGAACTTATTTGTTACAAATATTCATTTGGAAATTTCAAGAGTTTTGCTTTTAGGAGATTTTTTTTTTCAGATGTAACACTACTGTTTTGTGGGTAGTTCTTAATGAAACAAATACTTGTAAGCTGGGACAGACTGATAGAGTGTCATGTTAGGGTTAGTGTCACTCTCCCCTCCCTGGACAGGGCAGTTATTAATTCTGGAGGAGAGAGATGTGGGTCCAGATGCATGGGTTCAAGGGTGCTTTCATCATCTTTTGACTGAAGGAAATTGAGGATGAGAAGTTCCTCACAGAAGTGACACAGCCTTTGCAGGCTCAGTCCCTTCAGCCTCTCATGTAGGTTGTACTTTAAAGGTGTGAAGGGAATTTGCTGCTACTCAAATGTGTATGGAGGCACCTGGGTGCAAGTGGGTATCATTTTCAGGGTGCAGCAGGTGGGGGAAAGAGGGCGGCAGTAGCTCTCTTTACACAAGACTGTTTCTGTGTAAGCCAAGGTCCTGCATGCATGTGAAAGAAAGGACAGGGGCGGTCCTGGGCAGCACCCCTAAATCAGCACGGTGATTCCCTCACTGGAATGAAGTCATGGATGTGTTTTCAGTTCTTTCTGCATTGCAGCCTAAATGTGGAGCAAGGTGTGGTTTGAAAATGCCAACCTGTCCTCCTGAGGTGTCTGCAGACACAGCATGCTTTCTGAGTGACAGAGCAGGGCCTTTGCTACTCCCCTGTCTCGAGCATGGTCTTGCCAAAGCGTCTGTTTAACCCACAAACCCACTGAGCCGTAACTGCGTGCCCAGTATGACGGCTCAAGGCAGGAACCATCGTACAACCCTGTGGTTATTCTAAAAGTGTTGTCTGTTTTCCAGATATTTTTTCTAGAAATGTTTACATTTTCATGACTACCTTGTTAACAAACTAAGGAGAAGTCAGCGTGTTAGGTGTGTTACATACTGAGTACGATGTATTACGTGTGATCCTAAAATGGTGTGTGTTTGGAGAAGGATGTTTCTATTAATTGTCAAGCAATGGGAGGCATCGTGTTGTTCCTAGATAACTGAAAGTATGCCTAAAATGTAAAGGAAAAGAACAACTAGAACTCGAGTATGCCAATGCCACAAAAGAAAGCTTAACTTGTTTTCTTGCTTTTTTTTTAGAGAACACCTGTTCCCAGCGCTGAAGCATTCCGATGGTTCTTTTAAGCAGTAGTGTATCTTATTTTCGAGGCAGTCCGAAGTGAATGGCAAGCTAAAGTCTTGTTTTAAGAAACTGCTTAGTCCACCATTGAAGAATATACTCAGATACTATTTTCATTTATGTATAGGGGTTTCCTCAAAAGCAAAAGACAAAAACCTGTGAGCCTGGGGAATTGGCCAGCTTCTTCACATTCAGTACACCGATTCTTTCTTTGATGTAACTTAGCTATACTAGTGAAGTTGTTGTCTATTTTTAAAGTGGCTGTAAAAAAAAAAAAAAGTTTGGGTAAACCCCTGCTATAAAGTCATGTATCTTTGAAAAGTAACATATCTATACTTCATTTTCAAATATATGTGTTTCAGTACTGTAAACTGTACAGATAGCCGCTTGTATTTTGTGTGTTTAGACACAAGGAGACAATCATGTCTGAGCATCAATGGAGATAAACAGTTTGTACACAACAGTGTGGTTCTGCAAATTGAATCCGGAGCAATAAATTCTAGCTTTAACTATTATTTTGCTAGTTGTTTCGCAGCAGCAGCAGCAACAGCAGCACTGTTTTACCATGCATCCTTCCATAGAGACTTGATGCCAAGTTTTCCAAGATAAAAAGATTGTGATGCATCTAGCAATTGCCTTCTGTTGTGGTGTTGTGAGAGGGGAAGACGTAACACTTAAAATTAATCTTTCAAGCACTATATTAGAATAGTGGTTTGTGCACTTGCATTGCTTCCAAAGGAGCTTTACAGAGGTGTATCTCTCCAAAAATGCTGTCTGGTGTCTGACTCATTTTTCACTGTGCCCAGCATAGGCAAATGTGCAAAACTAGTAATTTAAATAAAGGTTGTTCTAGGATACAAACCAGAGTATGGGACCTTAGGAAAAATGATGACTCAGTTTAATTACCCTTCACCTACAAGATCTTATGTAACATTTTCAGTCAATGGAGTAAATATTTTATAAAGTGGAATGCCATATTTTTGGTTCTGGTGGAGCGCTTCACAGTTAAGTGAGTTTTGACAGTTGGACTGGTTTAGGTTTCACTTGCACTTGTGCTCATTTGAGAGCCTGGATATTTTTGCGGTATAAAAAAGATTTTTTTTTTATTTTTATCCTTTTAAAAAAAGACCACTTCTCCCCATGTTTCTTGGTCCACTGATTTTGGCTTTGCTGAATGACTGGTCCCTTAAGCCCTTACAAAAATGCTTTGCTGTTCTTCTTCCTGTTCTAGCTGTATGGAAGAAATGTCTACTCCATGGAAAGGCAGCACACAGAGGGATATAGCTGACATGCCATAAAAAATAAGGAGGATTCTTTACTTAGGGATACTTACTATCAGTCGATCATCACTTTTTATCGCTTGGCTTTGTCATACCACTCTCGAGTGAGAAGGCCATGCCACCAAAGTAAGTGAATGCTGTTGTGCCATGTATTTGATAGATTTGTAATTTTATACAAGACAGGCCTACCAGTAGTTTCACAAAAACGATGCTGGGCATGCAAATAACTAATTAATGTTGCACAGCACATGTAAATCTCCTACTGTTTCAGCACTTTCTTCAGGGTTTTGCTAAGTACTTCAGCCTTTGGCCCCGGTCACACTTACTTGATGAAGCACAAGGTTGGGAATGCTCCAGTGAGGGACCTGTGCAGGTGGGGAAGACACCAGCTTTGGCAAGTGAGGGCTGGCAGGTGTCAGGAACAGCCCAGAAAGTGAAGACGAGGGGATGGAGGCAGAGAAACCTCCTGAAGGCACATGTGTGTCAGCAGGACTGGGCAGAGCATGGGTGACCCAGGGTAACTGGAGGGCACAGTTGGGCTGAGCTTACACCTGCATCCTCAGCTTAGGGTCAGTGCATGTGCCAGTGTCCTTGCGTTGTACAACGTCACATACATGGCTTCAGAGGTGGAATGTCACGCTTAAAATGCTTCTATCATGGTGCCCCTCTTACAGTTTGTGAGATCCTCAGTTGTATACTCATCCAATGCCTATTCAATGAGCTTTGTGTCTGTTTGTAGGGCAGCTGTGTATGGATTTTTTTGTGTTGGAGACTTTTTGGTTAGGGGCCTCTGTTACTGATCGTTAGACCAATATGAGCTCTGCAAGGTCTTCTCTACCAAAGTGCTGACTGACTTACAAACTGAAGCCTTATTTGCACATCTGGCTGGTAAGCTTGCCTTGCTCTTTGGAAAACTCTCATTGCTCTTACAGAAGCAGAGGCAAAGTTAAGTTCAGGATACGTTAGGTATACAAAGATACTCATAGCAATGTCTAATACCCTAATGTTGCATGTCTTGTTGTGGTTCCTTTTTTTTGTTTTGTTGTTTTGTTTTAAAGAACTGCTGGATCTGTATATTGTAATTTTGGTGTTTTACATGTCAATCCAAAATTGTTAAACACACAAACAAGCATACCTTGAAAATGAACCAGAGGTGATTTTTCTTTGATTTACCCTTATGGTTTTCATTTCAGATGTTGTTCCTTTGTACCATCAGGTTTTTAGATTCTGCTGAAACAGTATTTAATATGATGTAGTGTGCATAGAGCATTTTAATTAGTGATGTTTGAAGAAGGAAATCCATTTTCTGGCCTGTCTCTCCCCACCCCTCCCCATTTATATACATATTTGTCAATCGGATTATTGTCAAGTTCTAATTACCAAATTTGTGCTTTTCACAAGGTCCAATACTGTTTTCCAATGTGAAAATTTGTATTCTTCTCCGTTCTTCATTCTCACAGTGAAAAGTAAAAAAAAAAAAAAAGGGTGTGGGCAAAAAAAAAAGCAGAACTCTGTCTTCTAGGTGTGAGTGAGTGCTAAGCCTAGTGGAAGCATTTTTGGCATACCCCAGATAAACTTATGAAAAATGGTAAGCTTGAAAGGGAGGCACACGTACCCATTCTGTCAATTAATAACAGACCCTCCCTATGAGGGAAAATACTCCCTTTTGTACAGACCCCCTGGTATGTAAGTCCTACAATTAATGTTGAAGAATGTAAAGTCTTTAAACCGGCTATATCTGTAATCAAATAATGAAGAAAGAAAGTAGTTAAATGAACATACCATTCAGGGTCGAATGCATTCAGCAAAAAGCAGTAGTGGGTCTTTGATCATGGTTAGATGCATAGTGATATCAAACAGTGGGTTCTCATGTAACAGCTAAATGTTTCAGATTTTGTTTTTATTAAATTTGGCAGTTTCACGCTGAGCTCTACTGTATTCTTAGTGAACAAAAGACAGCTCCTATGTTAGAAAGTACTCCATTTTCACAATTGCAGGGAACTAGGAGGGTATTTTCAGAAACATGGGCCACAGAAATGTACTCCTTTCACAGTGTTCTCCTATTTCTGAACTGTGCAGTTATCTATTAAATTTTCTAATAGATATTTGTGTAAGGTGTATGTATGCTTGTGCAATTATGGAAAAAAAACAGTTTTGGAAAACAGTGTATTTATGAAAAAATAATCACTTATGGGGCATGTACAAAACTGTATAAAAACATTCAATTTGCCCAGTAAAGTTGTTTTTTGTGATATTTCTGTGTTGTTGAATAAAGGACTTTAGTATTCAAAATATCTCTCTTTTTCCATAAACAGGTCCTGTTTGTGGGATCTTAAACAAAGAAAACCTCTTTTACAAAAGAACCCTCAAAATGAGCGAGAAGGTCCAAATGCTGACCTCAGTCTTGCGTGTGGGAATGAATGCTTATGAAGTGATGGTACAATAGCCACAGAGCTTATTCCTTCTCAATTGGCAATTGATGGAAACCCCATAAGTTGTGTAACTGAAGGTAACATCGTACTCTGGATTTTTTAAAATAGCAGAAAAAAATACTGCCTTTTCTTCGACTAGGAATGTTACTTTGAGATTTTGAGGCTATGAAAGGTTAGTGAAGTAAGAGCAAGACTGATTACAGAAAGCCTTAAACCCATTAGTGCAGACCTGTGTTGTATATGAAGAGTGGACTAGTGAGGGTGGTGTGATAAATTAGCAGTTAGCTTTGTATGGAGAAGCCTGCAAAGGTGAAATCTCATCTGTAGCTCTTGCAACAAACAGTAGTCCTGAGGGTAGATCAGCCCATTGCTGTTGAAGTACTTGGAATTACAAATATGGCTTGTGAGAGAATGACAACATTATCTTCCTTTCTGTTTTACTGCTTCTCAGTTCAAAGTTCAGCTCTCTACCTGTCTCAAAACTCAAATACATAGCTAAGGAAATGTTTTGCTCTTGACATTTTGTTTCCCCATACTACTTGCCAGCATTGAAGCAACTTCAGATAGGTGGGAAGGTTTGTGACAGGCACATCATCTGATTTTGGTGAAATTTGGAACGTCATCTTTCTGCGAATATTCCTTTAATCAACAGAAAGTCGGCTCTTAGGTGCCAAAACAGAATTTTGAACGAGTTTGAAAAACGAGGTAGGTCCTTTAGTCTGTGAGATGCTTTCAATGCCAGCTGATTTTCCAGGGGGAGCCTTGGTGTATCCTTTTGTTTTTTCAAGAAAGCAACAAAAGAAAAGGAACAGAAGTGGATTTTCCACTGATCCTGTCTGCTCTCATCGAAATCCATAAGGATATATGTTCTTGGGAGACGTAGACCGCTCATTAGACAAGAGTGAATCTTGAGGTCTGTTTGAAGAGGAGGAAAAGGGCTGCCAGGTTGCTCAGGCATACTCAGCGATCTCTCTGGATTAAATATAGAATTCACAGGGAGGAAATACACTCATTTCATGAGACGGTCGATTTGGAAGCAGGAAGAGGTCTCTGAGTTCCTATTCTTTTAATGCTTTCTCTTTCAACATTTTTCCCCTCAAGTATTGTTTTATACTGGTCTGAATGAAAAACGTCCCTCAGCTCTGAAGAAATACTCGCCCCAGATATGAACCTTGCAGTTTAAAACTACCTCTAGTTTTTTATAGCTTTTATTCTTTAATTAAAAAACCAAAAAACCCCAAAACAACAAAACAACAACAAAACTAAGCAACTAAAAGTAAAAACCCAGTCAAGAAGCAGGTAATTCTTCAAAGCCAAAGCTGACAAACTTATTACTGAGCCTATTAAAGAAAGGAAAATACCCTTTTGTGTGGAAACTCAGTTTTTCTAGGCTGTGTTGGGCTCAATTTGGTTTTGCCACTAGCCATGTCAATGCTCTTTTATATATTTCCAAGGAACAAGTCTGAAATTATGAACAGTCAAGTGGTACAGGGCAGTGTGCCTTCTGGGAGGCTCCAGTCTTCCCCATGTTCCCATGGGGTTTACCAGATAGCTTGTGGAAATTGAGGATATTGTATAGGAGGCTTGGTTATAAGTTTGATCTTACTTCACTGTAAGGATCTACTCAGTTACCAGTGTGCACTGAGCATGGATAGATGGCCCCAAAATCTATAAAGGAAAGAAATTCTTCTTCTTCTCAGTAATAACTGCAGAACGTACAATGATCTTTGAAACCACTGTATCTATCTGAGGAAAGAAAGTCAAAGTGCTGCAGGATCTGCTCCCCCTGTAGGTTTGTCTTGGTTTGCTGTTTGGTTTTTAGGGTGGATACACTCAGCTGGGTTGCTGGGTGCTTCAGCAGAGCCATTTTCCCCAAGGCAGGCAGAATAAAGGAAATGCAGGTAGCAAAATGTTATTCTTGCAAGACAAGGATCTAGGTTGCCTAAAGAAACTGTGATGTTCTGGAAGATTTTCTCGGCTCTTCTAAGTTCTCAGATGATATTAAAGGATTGTCACATTATTTGTAATGTAATAATCAGGAAGAATTTGTCATGCTACCACCCATTCCTGAAAAACAAGTTTTAGAATTCAGCCTTAATGGGTTAATTTCCCAACCAACTCTGACGGTGCTTCTTCGTGTAATATGACTTCCCTATAAAAGAAGATGCTGTGGCAGTGGGTTGATTGGCCTATATAGGGCCTTGACTTGCAGAGTCAAGGATCTCTGATAGAAAATAATTCAGAATTCTGGTAGAAGGATCTGCAGGTGTCATGATGTCAGCCAGAGCCTGGATTAATTACTCGGTGCAGTTCTCCCCAGTTTGGTTTATGATATGTATAAGCATCCTACATTTGAGAAGAAACCACCTTTCTTCCTTTGCTCTTTTAAGTCTGCTCTCTTTATGGAATTAATAAGAATAACCTTCTGCACTTCTTCAGGAAAGGCCAAAGCATTAGAAGAAATACATCTCTTTTTGGCTAGACATTTTCCTTTGGGAAAAGACAGAAGAGTTAGTCTAGGTCAGAAACTCCTGGTGCTTTCTCAAATCTCCTAACAGGGGTTTCTCTGCATTGGATGTAGCTGTGAGCGGAGCCCATACCTCAGCTTGGCAATTGGTCACAATCCTACAGAACATCAGCACTAAAGCAGACAGGAGCCATGGGGATGTTCCCACTGCCCTCTCCCTGGTACATGTGACACACAAAGGTTTATGGCAGGGCTCCAACACCCTTCCCATGCAGGGGGTCAGGCTTGCTATACCCAGCAGAGAGGTGAACTTCCCCAGAACTGAGCAGCCTGTAGCTGAATGTTTTTAAGAAGAGAGAAGGTTTTTACACATCCAGACAGGGACTAGAACATCTCAACCCACTTGTCTCACATTAGCTTTTGATTTATAGCTGTGAGAGTTGGTGGCCACCAGGCTGCAGGAGAAGGAGCTGGGCAGTTGAGGATACCTAGTCTCTTCTTACATGCCTACATTTTAATGGTCAGATCTAGAGATTGATAGTGAATTTGAGCAGCTGATATGTTGACCGAGATTAATGCAAAATTATTACAACTGGTTTTCAACCTTTTGTTGGAGAGTCAGTGAGTAAATAACCTAATCTAGCAAAATCTGTCACCCACATTAGGAACTGTGAACTAATTATTGCTTTCTGATACTCTGCTCTTACTTGTTTTCCCTTTTTAACCTGATTGTTTGCATTCCTAGGACTGATTTGCCTTTCTGATGCAATGCCATGTGATCTGCTGATTAATTTTTGTGAGCAATCATAAACTCCAACCTATGGCTGACTCCATATATTTTTATGCTACGCTCCATAAACATTCATTCATTTATTATGATTACTGTGTGGAAACAGACTTTTACAGGCTAATAAACTTGGATTTGAACTGGTTGAAGTTTCCTGGTGTCACTTCTTTCCTCTTTTTTAAGGAAAAAGCCCAAAACTACACATAACAAAAAAGAAGAAATAAAGGTGCAAACCTTGACTTGATTTAACCAGGTCTCTGTAACTATCTTCACAAATGCTGTCAGTACTAGACTTGGAAATACCAAGAGCAAAACCTTATTCTCAAGTTGATTTCATTAACAGTGAGAAACAGTCCTTCTTAAAAATAAAACAAACTTCCAGGGCTTAGGGCTGGGAAAGAGGGGGAAGGGAAATCAGTTTTTTTTCCCTTTAATTGGTTACTCTGGTGTCTTCTCTCCTGTAGACCTGCTTTCTTAAACACGCTGACATGCACAGGGCAGCTTCCAGCTGAGACCAATTAAGCAGAGCATTTGCCTCCAGTGTGGCTCCGTGGCTGTGGCCGGGTGATGCTCGTTGCAGGCTGCGTGCCGGTGCGGGCACAGCTGGAGCACGCGCGGCCAAGCGACCTCCCAGCGCACGCGGGGCCAGGGCCAGCATCTTCTCACGCTCCTGGGCTCTGATGCTCCCTGACCTGCTGTGCCTGGCAAATGTCTGGTCAGAAATGACTCTGCAGGTGGTGGAGAGTTTTTCTTTTCTCAGTGGTTAGTTCAAGCTCAAACAGCTGGGCAATACTGAGTGTAGTACACGGAAGGAACGTGGATTCTCGTGTCGTCACTGTTTAAGACATCTCAGTAGATGAGGAAGCTGGCAGTAATTGATAACCCTTTACATGGCCTCTGCAAGGAGGCCATTGGGATGGAATGGCACTTTGTGCAGAGAGAGAGGCAGCAAAGGTAAAATAGATTGGCCTGATGTCTGCACACAACCACATGTAGTCCTCTCTGTAAAGAAATTGTCATCCTTTCCATATGTTCATCTGAAGTGTGTCACAAACATTATGCATAAAAATTGTATTTTTCAGCCCAGCCACACAGGTAATCTTATCAAAGAGCAAATGGGAATTTAAGAGCAGAAGGAGGGCTCATGTTTTGTCAGCTTTCAGGCCTTGAATGCAAGCAGTGAGATCAAGTGTCACTGAATGGCACAGCTGGACTGGACAGGACCCAGCCTCCGTGTACAGTGACCCTGCCAGTGGCACAGCTGTCCTGGACAGGGATCTTTGGGGACCACTGCTCTGGTCCCTGCCTTTCCTAGTTCTGCTGGAAAGAGTGACTTTTAGAAGATGGGGATGATCCTGAGGTAGTCTCACCACAGAGATGAGGCACAAGCAGGATTATTAGCTGATGATTTTCTTTTTCCTGTTGTGACCCAGCACATCTTACTTCAATAACATAAGCTAGAATTGTAGCAGCCAGAGAAAACTGCAGCTCCCCAGCAAGGCAGAGGAAAAAGCTAATTTGCTCACTCTTTCTTTCCCATTCTTTGTTCCCCTTTCCCCTGTATTTCCTTCCTTTAACTGCTCTCTTCCCTAGAGGAAGGCAGATATGGCAGATGCTGTGGCTCCTGCCAGCAGTCCCCAGCTCTGTGCTTTGTGTCCTGGGAAGGTGATGTGGCTACAACTGCACAGAGGCTTGAGCTCCTGGAGGCTGGAGCACCTGCAAGGTAGGTGCTTGGTGTATGGAGTGGTGCCCCAGCAAGTGTATGGGCTGCTGCTCTTCTGCTTGTGCCACTGGCTTCCACGGGGAAATGGTGGCAGATACCAAGCTGAAGCAGTCAATGTTGGACTTTTTACATCCCCAGTGTGGCAGGGTCAGGAAGCTGATGCAGATTGCAATGATAGCAGTGAATACGTAGGTTACATGTGCCCTAAAATGCTGGTGCTGAGAAAATCTGGGGGGACTTCTGAGGTGCAGAGAGTAAGACATGTGCTTGATCCATCACTGGCACGTACCAAACTTTGTCTGGCCACAGTGAGGGTTCTGGAAAAAAAGTTAAAGAAAGCCAGGTCTCAGCCATTTTTTCTCTAATTATTTTCTTGGAAACAGCTGAGTTGGTTCTGCTAGGAATTTGAAAGCACACCTAGCTCAAGGCAGGCACTGAGCTGGAGGCAGATGTCTTGCCTGAAAGGTTTCAGCCTGCAGGATTAAAGGTATGAGTAAAGCTATGAACTGCCAAAAATGGGACCTTGTAATAGGCACTGCAGGTGATGTAAACGACAGATGTTGCCACCAGCTTTGCTAGGGGTAAAGGAGGGAGTGAGAAGGGCATTCATTCTGCTGTGCTGTGTGGGGAGACTCAGTCTGGTTTTCTACCAGCAAGGCTGGAAGCAGCTGGGGTGGGTCGGGGATTTTTGGGTGGGCATCTCCTTAGCATAAAATGCAACTTGTATGATCGCAAGGAAAAGCTGGGCAAGGGAAGTGGATGGCTGTGGCACTGCCAGCCAAAATGCTTCCCAGAGATGCCAAACTGTGCCCCAAGGAGCAGGCAGAAGAGATGCTCTCCTGGCACCTGCACTGTGAGGGCTGCAATGTCTGTCTATGGCTCCACTGAAAAGAACCAGCAACCCAGTTTGTCAGCTCCCTGGCCCAGTGTGCTGAGCCCAGAGACAGGTTATATCCAGGAGGGTTGTTCACAGGAATGTGCTGGGAGTGATGGTGATGCCCTGGCAGTGCCATTCCAGGGGGTGGGGTGTCCCCCTCCCTGCTCCCTGTGGATGGGGTGCGAGTCTCTGCTGTGTTTTGATCCAACACTCCACGCTGCTGCTCTGACACTTCGCCGCTCCCACTGCGATTGCTGCATTTCTCTTCTGCTTTATGTTAAAACAAGGGAGGTGTTTAAATATTTATTAACGCTAGAAACTCCAGAAGCCAATGTTCATTTGTACAAGGCACTGGGATTTTTTTCCAATTGTCAGTAATAATTCATTAATTATTATTTTAAAGTTTTTGTTCTGCCTGGGATGTGTCACTTTCCCACCAATTTGGCAGCAATCTGCACAAGATGTGGGATGTACAGCACCGTGGTTCTTCCTCCTGTGCGTTGTTGCTGCTCCTTCAAATATCTTCCCTTTAAACAAAGTGGGCGTTGGAGTTCCTGGTATCTGTTCAACTAAAGGGAGAATTTTTTCCTTGCTCTTCCTCCACATAATTTTTTTTGGGGGGTCAAGTGCCTTCTGCTGCCATTACTGCACCGGTGGAACTGGGGTCTGCTCCTGCCCCTCTGCAGGTGCAGGAGACAAAACTCGTGACTTTTGGCTCCTGGGGATGCTGTGCTTGGCTGTGGCTGCTGGACAAGCATCTCCTCTTGCTGCAGTGGCTGCACTGAGCTGTGCCAAGCCTCAGTGGTCCTTCAGGCTCTGAGCATTGAATTGGCACAGTCTGGAATCCAGAGCCATGAAAAAGCAATATTGTCTGGCTGTGGCAGGTTGGCATTTTTCTTAGATTACTCTAAATGCAGAGTGTTGCTTGCTTTCCCCTGCTTCTGTCTGCAAATGAGTGGGGAGGTGGCTGGGATGTGGCAGACTTCATCTGCAGGGAGATGGGAATGAGGAACTTGCACTAGGAAATGCCTTTTGTTTCCAGCCCAGAACATGATATTTGTCTTCTGAATTCCCTTTTTACGTCTTTCCCTTGAATGCTTTTGTTACCACTTGTGTGTTTGCCACTTTTGCAGGAGAGGACAGTCTCGGGGAGCAAAGGCATTCCCCATCTGAGCCTACCAGGGACATGCCTGTGCCTAATGCCACCACTGCCATATTCCCATAGGTCATGACTGAGCTGGGTACCAAAGCTGCCAATAGCCTTGGAAAACAGTAGCAGCCTGCTCAAGGCTGTGTCCTAACTGGGCTGCCCAAAACCTCTTACAGGAGCTGGGGAGGAGATGGGAGAAGCCACTGAGGTTGGTAATTTTGCTTTCACCTGAGGTAACCACAGAAGCTGAGCATCCCTGGTGCAGCCCAGGGGCTGAAAGGAGAAACTGCCCCTCTGGGCTGAAGCATGCCCAGGAGTATTGCCTTATGGGGTCACCAAATGCAGCTCCTGGCTGGCTCCTGGCGTGCCGGGGAAGAGCGGGAGCTGCTCTGCTGGGTTGTTCTGGTCTGTACCGATGGGACTTCTCTGTTCCTGGAGCCTGGGGCCAGGGACACCTCCAGGCAGAGGGGCAGAACTGTGGGCATGTGTTGCTGCACAGGAATGCAGGTACACCTGTAGCTGCCTCTGTGTCCCAGCCAGCCCAAGCACACCAGGCACAGCCCAAAGACCATCTCTGCTGTTGCACCTAGGCAGTGCTGGGCTGGAGATTAGGTTTGTCTTTTTACTACTTTTTACTTCATTAAAGACATGCCATGCGATTTGGCTCTGTTCCCACTCCTCTTTCTCTCCCTTCCCTTCCCTTCCCTTCCCTTCCCTTCCCTTCCCTTCCCTTCCCTTCCCTTCCCTTCCCTTCCCTTCCCTTCCCTTCCCTTCCCTTCCCTTCCCTTCCCTTCCCTTCCCTTCCCTTCCCTTCCCTTCCCTTCCCTTCCCTTCCCTTCCCTTCCCCACTGAATGGCTCCCTAACCTCCATTTCCTTATGGGGAGAAAAAGAGGGAAAAGAGACCTTGATTAGTGCAGCTGAGCATCTCCATGAGATCTGGCCTCGCTCAGGTCAGAGCAAGGTGGAAACCCATGCACCAATAGAGCAGCCATGCAGGAAGCCCCTTCCTGGGATATTTCAGCTGGCACCTCCAGCTCGCAGCTGGAGCAGCTGGGAGCGAATGCAAGTGTGGCAGCACCTGCGCTCATCATTTTTTCGGGAAGTTGGGAGATGTAAAATTTTCCTGCTTTCCACTGGATGGAGTTTTGCCTTTGCCACAGTAGCAGTTCTTGGGAGCTGCCTTCTGGGAGGCGAGGCGAGCTGCGGGAGCGCGGCTGCGATGCCAGGCTCAGCGGGATTCGCCCTCTGGAAAATGCAGGGCCAGGGCTCAGCCTGAATGGCCGGCTCGCGTTGTGTGGTCACAGGAGGAATTTGCCGAGAAGGGCTGGGATGAATTGCTTTGGCTCCCGAGAGGCCCGGGAGCAGGAGGAGCCCAGCCCCGGCGCAGCGGTGCC